TATGGTTATGTTATGAGAAAGGGTTCCAGATGGTATTCCATGGAAATGGCTGGTGTTACGTGTCTGACGGGAGCGACAATTATTCAGCTGGCCAGGTCGCTCGTTGAGCGATTGGGTCGTCCCTTGGAATTGGATACGGACGGTATCTGGTGTATGCTTCCCGCCACGTTCCCGGAAAACTTCGCCTTCAAGACCAAGGGAGGCAAGAAGGTCACCATTTCGTACCCCTGTACCATGTTGAACCATTTGGTTCACGCAAAGTTCACCAACCACCAATACCAGACGCTCACAGACCCCAAGACTCTCAAGTACGAGACGCACAGCGACAACTCCATCTTCTTCGAAGTCGACGGCCCTTACAAGGCCATGGTCTTGCCCACTTCCAAGGAGGAGGACAAGAATCTGAAGAAGCGTTATGCAGTCTTCAACGACGACGGCAGTTTGGCCGAGTTGAAGGGTTTCGAGGTGAAGCGCAGAGGTGAGCTGAAGCTCATCAAGATCTTCCAGCAGCAAATCTTCAAGTTTTTTCTTGAAGGAGAAACTCTTGCCGAGTGCTATGCTGCCGTTGCCAAGGTTGCCAACCAATGGCTTGATGTATTGCACAGCAAGGGTGCAACGCTGGCGGACGAGGAACTCATGGAGCTTATTTCGGAGAACAGAAGCATGTCCAAGACCTTGGAGGAGTACGGTTCGCAAAAGTCAACTTCAATCACCACGGCGAAGCGTTTGGCAGACTTCTTGGGTGAACAGATGGTCAAGGACAAGGGATTGAATTGCAAGTTCATTATCTGCGCCAGACCCAAGAACGCGCCCGTCACCGAGCGAGCCATCCCGGTTGCCATCTTCTCTGCCGAAGAGACGACGAAGCGTTTCTACCTCAAGAAGTGGCTCAAGGAGGAACCTGCGGACACCGACCCGAGAGCTCTATTGGACTGGGACTACTACCTCGAGCGCCTGGGATCCGTTATCCAGAAGCTCATCACCATCCCTGCTGCGCTCCAGAAAGTCAGGAACCCGGTTCCTCGTGTGGCTCACCCCGACTGGCTGCAACGCCGGATCAACATCAAGGACGATAAGATGAAGCAGAAGAAGCTCACCGACCTTTTCACCAAGGGGCCACTGGAAGACATCACCAACCGCAACGGTCGGTCCGCAACCGACATGGAGGACTTCGGCACACAGCTACTCAAGCCAAAGCCCGTGACGTCTGTGGTGGCCGCTTCACAGCCTACTGCCCAGAAGAGAAAGTCTCCCGAAGCTGCTGAGAGCACTGATCCCTTCGCCGCACTGCCCAAGGTTATGCCCTCCCCCTCAGACGACTACATTGGCTTCTTGCAATACCAGAAGCAAAAGTGGAAGATTCAAAAGCAGGCTCGCATTCGAAGACGACAGCTTTTTGGAGACCGACGCGGCAACAACCAGAATAACATCCAAAACACGTTCATGAAGCAAGCCCATATGACTTACATGAGCAATTGGCAGCTGTTGCATCTCAAGCCGACGGAAACTCCTGGTATCGTCAACGCTCACGTTCTCATTGATGCAAAGATCCACTCGCTCAAGATCAAGGTCCCGCGACAGGTGTTCTTGAACTTGAGAAGTGGCGAAATGCCCGACGTTGATATCCCTGGCTGTGAGGTCGAGCAGGTCAACCACACGCTTCCGAATGGTCACTCTTCCGTTCACCTCTTCAAGCTTACGGTTCCTGAGGACGTCTACTTCAATGAGGCGGACAAGTTCTCGCTGCTGTTCAACCACCCCAGTGTCGAAGGCGTGTACGAGAAGCATTTGCCGCTGAATATTCGGGCTGTGCTTCAACTGGGTAATCTCTGCACCATTGACGAACAGCAACATGCAGTCCTCGGAAAGGGCCTGGAGCAAGGCTTCGATCTAAGTGGTCTCAAGCGTCCCCTGAAGGCGAAGACCTATCTTGAAACTTCACCCCTGGCATACATCTACGTCTCTCACGTCACTGCTGGCGACAAACAAATCTTTGGAGTCTTTTCTACACTGAAGGACGAGGCACATGTAATTATCCTACAGAAGGGCAGAGACTCGGGCCAGGACCTCCCCAACATCTCCCGGATTTACACCGAGCTGCTTGCTCGACGAGGAGAAGAGGCCGAGGGCACAAACTGGCAGGATTGCTTCACATACCAGGAGAAGCTGAACTTCAAAATCACCCAGGTCACGACGAGGCGAAAGGCGCATTTGGAACTCAGTGACGTTGTCAAGAAGATGAGAAAGGACGAGCTGCGACCACTCATGATGGTTATCCAATCATCCCAGCGCAACATGCTCATCAATGACGTTCCGATTCTCGGCGAGTTTCCAGTACTGCCGCTTAAGTATGATGCTGCGGATAGCTCCCTGCCGCCACTTGGCTGGCAAGCAGTCGTTGCAAGACGGCTTGTTGGACACTATCTCGGTCTTGGCTCCTGGATCTTGCATCTCACTACACTCGCACGGTACGGAGAGGTTCCTCTCTGTAATCTCGAGCGAGAGGACCCGCGCTTCCTCATCGATATTGCCTATGCTAGAAGGTTGCAGAACAACAACGTTGTCCTGTGGTGGTCCGCAAGCCCTCGTCCCGACCATGCCGGTCACGAGAAGGATGACATTATCGGCCCGCTCGAAACTGTCCAGATGCCCTCAATCAACAACCCTGGCACGTTCTCCTCGGTCTGCATCGACTTGGAGGTCAGAAACCTAGCCATCAACACCATACTCACATCCTCTCTTATCAATGAGCTGGAAGGCTCCGAGTCTATTTCTTTCAATCCTGCCGGAGATGGTAACGCGGCTGGCGACGAAGTCATCTCGTCAGAAGGCACGTTTGCCAACGCTGGTGTGTTGGTTCTCCGAGAGATGGTGAAGAGTTGGTGGCAGGAGGCCTGCAAGGGCAATACCATGGCCGATGTCATGGTTCAGCACCTGGTCCGTTGGGTCGAGAATCCCGATTCCTTCCTGTATGACCGTGCTCTGCACTATTACGTGCAGATGATGTCCAAGAAGGCCTTCCAACAGCTCATGGCCGACTTCCGCCGAGTCGGCTCTCAGGTCATCTTTGCCAACTCGAACCGCCTTTTGCTTCAGACGACCAAGGCCGAGGTCGGTACCGCGTATGCCTACAGTCAGTACATTATCAAGTCGATCAAGAGCAAGCCCCTCTTCCACTTCATCGATCTTGAGATCAAGGAATATTGGGATTACCTAGTATGGTACGATGAGTTCAACTATGGCGGCAAAGCCTGTCAGGAGGTGGTGGAGGCAGAGCAGCAGACTCTCGACACCGTCATGCACTGGCAAATGGCGACATTCCTCCCTATCCGCCTGCAGCCCACTTTCCAGGACTGGGTCATTGAGTTCATCCAACTCATGCACAACCTCAAGCGCCCTCAAGACGGAGACTTCTCCTCGACGCCACGCCTTACACAACTCCCGCAAAAGGCCCTCGCGGAGGGCGCACAGGGACAAATCATCCTAGGCAAAGTCTTTGAGAAGCCCCTGAAGAAGGACATTGCCAACCTCGTCAACCTGCAGAAGCGCGAGCTGCTCCACCCGGAGCTCGCGGAAGACTACTCCTTCCCCAAGCTCCCCGGCTCGCACCTCGCCCACCTCTCCTCGCGCAACGCCGTCCTCGAGCTCGTAAAGTCCCTGATGCAGGTCCTCTCCCTCGACAAGAACATCACCCTCGAAGCGCGCCTCCTGCGCAAGGAACTCCTCGCCATGTTCGACGTGCGCGAGTTCAGCAAGGAAGGCGCCTTCCAGAACCCGAGTGAGAGCCTGAAGGTGATCCAGCTCAGCTGCGACAGCTGCACCATGGCGCGCGACCTCGACTTCTGCCGCGACGAGGACCTGTTGCCGGAGATTGGGCCCGACGGGCGGCGGCTGGGACCGGAGACGAGGCCTTGGCGGTGTACGTTTTGCGAGGCCGAGTATGATCGGAATGCGATCGAGGAGACGTTGTTGGCGAGCGTGGAGGCGTTTGTGGTGGAGTGGACTACGCAGGATCTCAAGTGCGGCAAGTGTGGCGCGTTGCGGATGAATGAGTTTATGGAGCATTGTACTTGTAGCGGGACGTGGGTTGAGAGTGTCAAGAGGGCGGATATTGTGAGAAGGCTGAGTGTGTATTGGAGCGTGGCTAAGTTTTATGGGTTGAGGATGTTGTTGGAGGTTACGGAGGGGTTGAGGAAGGGTCTTTGAGGCCTCTTTGAGGGAAGAGGGAGAAGGGATGGGCATGGGCAGGCGCGTTTGGGTTGCATTTGACGGCGTTATTGGGGATGTGAGACTTGTGGGAGGGATGATATACTAGATAGCCCTTTGAAAAAGCATGAGAGGCCGTGGTTTACGTGCTTGAATACGAATACTTAATTCAGGATATGGATGCAATCCCTGTGACTGTGAATGTGACTTGTTCGCGTTCTAAGGGGGGGAGGAATAGGGTATCGCTGAGCGGACCGAGACGGCTGTATGGCATCCGTGGGGACTTGGGCCAATATCGAGATTTGATGGAAGTCGTGTCTAAGTAAGAGTCTTTGGAAGCGTGAGGCGTTGCGGCGGGTTTGTGAGATATAGTCAGATGCTCCCCTCCTCCCACCTAGTACCGAATGGCGTCACTTCGTAGACACCCGCCTTATTCAGGGTAACAGCGAACTGTGTGTTGATCCGTTCCTATTTCCTTATAGCCTCGAGATAAAGTAAGAATATCAGAAGCAGAGTTGGAAAAAAATGAGGAACGTTTGTATCCCCATCATTCAGCTTTCGACGGGATACATCACACGATACCTTACATGTATTGTTCCTGATTAGATGCGGCTGGAGTTGCATGCGCTTCATTACTAGTTCATTCTTGTCATTGTGCGAAAGGGCTCATGGAAAGAATTGTGAAGTCGGCAGACGTCTATCATATCTGCTATTCATTCTAGACCCCACTTGCCAAAGCGTCATACTCGCCAGTTCCTCTCCATCCAGAGATCCGTAGATGGGTCTTGATAAACTCAAACCAGAGTTTGGCATTCTGGGACCCCTCGTTCGTCAATGACGAAGATGTGCTTTGGGTCATGAAGCTTATCCTTGTGAGGCGCGCACTTGAAGCAAAGCCCAAAGTTTTTATAACAATCATTGTCATCGCAAATGAGGAAAGCACCCCAAATCAGCTGGATTTATCGTCTAGGTTAGCTCGAATATTGTGGTATATCGGCACAGGGAAACTTACAGTATTGCAACCATCGCAAATCCACCTTCCAGCGCGCTTGGACAACGCTTTGATGGATTCGACTTGAACTTGTTTTCCCTCCGTCACGTCCCTAAACGCAGCGACGATAATTTCAGGCGCGCCGTGGTGTTCCGCAATTTCCAGTACGCACCACATACGTTCGTTGCCACCGGGCACACGTTCTGCCAGACCAGGACATTTCTTCCCAGCCAGGAACTTGATGATTTCAGCCTTCTCTGCCCATTTCTGCGGGACATCTTCGTCTCCAAGATCTTCGATGGAGGCCATTGGCGCTGCCCAGTGAAGAGCCGACCACCCGTCGACGTCACGACTGTCAATTAGATTTGGATCCAGGTCGACAAGTCTCTCAACAAGTCCCAGATGCCCCGAGTGTGCTGCGCAGTGCAGGATACCCCGTGACATTCTGTCCTTGTCCCCTAACGAGGCCAAGAAGTCGTCCGCTCCGTAGTCGTCTAGTAGCATGTCAAACATCTCGAGGGCGTCGTCCTTTCTGGCACAGATATTGAACCACGCCGGCTGTCCGTTGCCGTCTAGGGTGTCGAAACTCCCACCCTTTTCGAGTAGGTACCGTACGAGCGATTCGTCGCCAGACCGGAACGCCTCTCCCATGGCACTGCGGAGGTAGCTTCCTGGGCCGTTGATGTCGATCCCCTTTTGCTCGACTAGGTACCTCAGTACTGCCAAGTCATTCTTGTTGACATTATTGCATGCCGCCTCGAGAAGGGTGCCCTGCATCCCATACCAGAGACCCGCGTCACCGCCCAGCTCCAAGATCAATTCTACTTCTTCCACCTCACCGAACCTGCAACACCTGTGCACGGTGGAACCGTACCTATCTGGACCCTTTGCGTTGATCGGAGCACCTTTGGAAATGAGGTATCTGCAATTCTCTTCACGGCTCTGCGGCTCGCCGTAGATCAGAGCGTTTAGCAGAGCGGTATGACCCCAGTTATCGGTGGCTTTGAAATTGGCGCCAGCGTTCACCAAACGCTGGGTGAGACTCGAATCTTGCTTCGTCACGGCGTAAAAGAGAGGCGTGTAGCCATTGTCGTCTTTGGCCTCCTTGTCGGCTCCGTATTCGAGCAATACCGCGAGTGTATCGCCGCTGTGTGCGAGATGGAGCGGTGTCAGACCGGTGCCCGGGATCCGATGGTTGACGTTGGCCCCGTGCTCTAGTAACAGCCTCACAATCTCCATGTGCGAGTATAGACTGGCAACAGCTAGAGCAGTATACCCCCTCGTATCCGCCTTTTCTTTTTCAATATCCGAGGATGGCGTGAACTCGATGTCCGGGTCGCCATGCTTCAACAACAACCTGACACTTTCCGTCTTGCCGTACGTCGCTGCGAGGAAAAGCGCTGTACATTGGGTGTCTCCGAACTCTGCCACTCGGTGATAGTCGGGCGGTGGCCACGCCTTGGTGACCAAATGTGCCATGACGGCCGGATAGTCATATGCCCCCTCCAAAGGAGACCAGTTTCGCGCCTTTGAAGGAATAGTCACGTCGGCTCCCTTGCTCAGGAGATATTCGACGACTTCTGGTCTCGATTGAAGTGTCGCTCCGTACAGCGGCGTCAGCCCCTTGACATCAGTTCGAATGTTGACGTCGGCGCCCCGTTTCACGAGGAACTCCACCATGGATAGCGTGCCCTCTTTCGCGGCCACGTAAAGAGGCGGTTCGCCTGAGAATTCTTGAGCGTTTATGCCGACCCCGCAATCCATGAACACTTGTGCCAGCTCCGTGTTATCCTGCTTCACGGCGTCACTCAAGTACTGCTCTTGACGCCCGTAATCAGTCTCGACTCCCGTGTCTAGAAGCAAGAGACAGACTTCCTTGGATGCTGATTTCTGTATAGCACGACTCAAGCAATCCATCAGGATTTCCTTGTCTCGGACAACATCAACATGGCCGAGGAGTACTCTCACAATTTCCAGTGAAGAGTGATCCACGGCCATGTAGAGACTCTCCTTGAGTCCTACACTGGAGAAATACTCGCTCTGAGACTGGCTCGCCAGCAGCTTCTCCAAAGCAGTATGATTGCCCGAGTAAATAAGCGCTCGCAGAGATCGGGACGAGATATCTAATCTGAGCCAGCTCATAAGCGCAAAGACGTCCTTACAATCGCATACGAGGCTTGCAGCGAGCAAGATGTCAGCCTTTTGGTCTTCACTGAGGTGAGGTTCTGCAAGCCGTGAGATCATCTTTGTGGCATCCGATCTCGGGAAAGCAATGGCCTTCAATAGCCATGTGAGCCACGTGGAGCTGTCAATATTACAATCTTTGATGCTTTTGGGGCATACTTGAATGCCGGCGAATGCCGCGCAGAAGAACAATTCGAACGGGGGTTGGAAATTCTGCCGAGACTGCGCTTGTCGGAAAAGATCATGGATGCAGTCGTGTGTGAGATTACCTGGTTCAACTGCTGAAAAGACCTTTCTCGCTTCCTTGTCTCTGAGGACAGAAACAGGGAGCTTCGGAAGAAGTGTCATGTGGCCGCCCCTGACTGCCTCCAAAAGCGCAGGGAACACAGTCTTGGGGCTACGTTCCCATCCGGGACAGCTGGCAAGCATGCCGATCTCCTCGATGTCATGGAAACCATGACATACGAGAAGAGCCACCGCAGTAGCTGTGGTATCTTCAGAAATCGCCCTCCTGGGAGATTCTACGACAGCATGTTGAACATGTCGGAGCATAAGGAAAGTCGCGGCGTGGTTGACCTTCAGGAATCTGGCTACCATGGCTTCGGCTTCTAGTTTTGTCGATGTGTGAGATTGAGCAACTCTGTAGTGATGTGACCAAAATTTGGCGGCATACGTCGTCAAGTCGTGGTGGGAAGGTGAACGTCGGATGAACTCGGATTGTGAACTTTGACTGTCAAGGCCTTTTTGCTCTGCCTCGATACCCAAATGCCGGAGCAGACAGCGCAGTATCCATAAGTTTGATTTGGCATTATGGGAATGCCAGGGGCCAGCGTCGTCCGGTTGGCCAGTAATGTCGTAAGTGAGCCGACACTCGCCATCAACTACTTGTATAAGGCCTGAAAGATGGTTCTGGATGGGGCAAAAGCTAGCGGATGAGGTGTCTTCTATACCTTTTCCAAGACGGCATTGACCTGAGATGAATTCGGTTCCATGTGATTTGGCTAGGCTCCGTTCCAGAGCTAAAACAGTGACAAGCTCAGTCGGAGAAAGAGGTCGGCAACCGAATTGGACCCAGAGAAGGGCGCTATTCGTAAAAACATCCTCATCTCTTGTAAGAAAACCCGCTATTGCAGTCTGCAGGGCGTGTGGATCAAGCTTCCCATCGTCGTCGATGGCCTCGTGGACTCTTCGGTAATACTGAACGCCTGATACGCTTGTTTGTGCTGTCCTGATGGCGAATTGCATGAAACTCTGGCGAAGATCGTCGTCTTTGGTGTTGCACAAGGCAGCCTCGATCAATTCTGGCAACGTACCGACGCACGCGTGGCTGCCGTGTGAAGCTAAGGATTCTGAAGAGATCTGACTGCTATGATCTTGAGAGCGTTGATAACAAGACCCTAATTGAAAAGGATGAATGCAGGCATCTTGCATAATTCCCTCAAAATCAGAGGTTGATTGTCCCAACCAGGAAAATAGTACCGCAGGCTTGGGCGTGGTCAACCGAAAAAGCTCTTTGAAGTTGCTCACTAACCTGGTCACCTCCGTATCGCCGCCACAGTGTTCTAGGTTCCAAACACACCAAATTGGACGAATGCCGTTGCGCCGAAGACAATTGTGCAGAACGACGAAGAGAACTGTAAGCGAGTCTTCACCCAATGGCTTCGCAGGCGAGTAGGTTGATTCAAACAACGAAAGTAAGCTCGCCACACCCATGTCCTGCTCCATCCGAGGAGAGATGCACGCAAGACCCTGGACTAGGAAGCTCTCGAGCACATTCCGCATACTGCTCAAGCGGATTTTCGCTTGAATCTGTGTATGTGCTCTGATCTCTCGAAACTGGTAGATAAAAGCTCTAATCTCTGTCTTGGGTGCTAACAGCTGGTTTGCTTTCGACACCCATCGAACGAAACTGCCAATCGTACTCGATGGGAATGATTCCGTAGGAGCCCAGATATATCGGATATTGCTTGACGTACGACCTTCGATCCACTCATCGAGGTCTTCTTCAAATCCCAAATTATCCAATGTCTTGTACTCAAGCCCCGCTTGAAAAGTAGGTGGCGGAGACACAGATGAGAGCAGGACTTGTAGCCTCTGGCTGCTAAAGCTTGCTTTTAAGGGAAGCGTAAATTAGTGATTGTGATCATATAGAAATGTCGATGGTGTATTCAGTGCACAGAAATATCTAGGCGCGTTACCTGTAGTTGAAACCTGAAGTTTTCCCTTGAGCAACTTATCCGCTCTCTCGTCGAGTTCGTGACCGAGCAGGGTGCCGTGAGGGTGTGGCAATCCGATGCGAGTTTCGCAACTGAGGTCAAGCGTAGCAGTGAACTCATCAAACGTCTAATAGGGTCAGGACTGAATTGAAAAAAGGTTCATGGCGATTCTATGACCCAATTGCCATCTTGCATGATCGCCCTTATGATAATGTTGTAACTTTTGTGACAGGAGAGGGGTGACAGGACTCAAACATCAGGTATGTGTGCTTACTCGGTCAATAGAATTCGGTGCCTCCGAGAAAACGCTGATTATGTGCACCATGAAAGGTAGATTGCTGTTCAAAAACAGGTGATTCACATCTGTGGTCATTTCAGCGCATAGTTTGGCAGCTTGGAAAAGGCCGATACTGGGAATGCTGTGAGTGTTATAGATCAAAGTCGCAAACCCATTAACAAGTGACTCAGCGCTCGATGTTTTGTGTGGGCAGCCGATGAAGATCTTTGCTCTTGTAAGCATTGCAATCTCTCCAGATCAAGTTCAAAGATTGACTTACTAAGACAGAAACAGAGGACAGCAATGGACTGTACTTGCTTAGGTTGCCAGCAGCAATGATGAAGGCCTGCAGTCCACTATGTAGTCAGTCCTAAGTTGGAGAGGTTCTACAAATAATAGAAACAGGTTTAGAGACGTAATTTGGCTCAACCTACCATCTTAATAAGCACACCACCCGTGTCGTGGGCTAGAATGGCAAGTGGACGATCTCCCTTTGAAGGCTAGGTCAGCAATTGCGTCTGGTTATAGGAAATTCTGATGATACTGACCTCCGATGCCTTCCAAACCATGATATCGTCTAAAAGCTGACAGGCAACGAACTCCAGTCCAGCACGAGTGCACATGGGCTTTTGGCCGTCAAAAAAGTTTTCGTAGTTGAAAGCAATGATGTTGGAGTTGCTATCATTGAACAAATCTTGTCTCAGCCAGGCCGGTTTGGTCGGGGTTGCCTCCCAAGGGCTGCCACCGCTATATGACAATCCATGGACCACAAGGATGCTTCCATATGTTTAGTTACTATAACATCTCGTAACTAGGCTTGAATCGAAGAAGGATTTGACGAGATAAATCACAGCAGCATTGTCATTGTGCAACATACTCTTTATCTGAGTCACCATCCTCCGCATCGAATCTCTCGAGTAACTCCATGATCTTGTTCTTTTATGGGGCAACTTTTGCTCTTTTGGCTGTCGTTCATGATTCTGTGGGAAATAACGTCCCCAAGATATCCCAATTTCGCAACAAATATGTTTCCGAGAAAGATGGATTGGTAGAGGGAAGGAAGCCGCCGTAGGCCGGCTACTCATACATCAGCTGATTGCTCAGATTGGGTTGATTTCTGTCCAACATTCCAACAACAAATCACGCATTCATAAAGTAACATGCTGGGTACTTGAAAATACATCGAAGCTAGCTGTTACTACTTCTGGCCATCTTTGACCTAACTTGGGGTTCCTGTTCCGAGGCTAAGCGACAGGCGCAGGTTACATGCAGGGATTCAATGCGATGTGATGAAAGCGTTTACATGCACCTTGCCATGAATACCAACCAACTACCCGCTTGTGCCGCTCGACCACTACCGTACAAAGTCTCTTGAAAATGACTCAGTCTCTAAGGCGCCAGAAGACAATCCCCAAAGGTCACCCACTACATCCGCAAGCTGTTTCGAATCATACTTGCGCAGGTTTTCGGTGGATTGTTTGAAGGGATCAACTCTCAAACAACCTCGAGGCACCTTGCCAAACATCTCCGTCAAATTCTCGATCGATGTTTTCAGATCAACGGAAGACTTGATTTCCATTTCGAGGACGAAGGGTCTGTCCATCGTATTTCCATTACACCGCTCAAGTAAGACAGCGGCACGAAAATGAGGCGGGACACCGTGTTTGGGCAGGGCGGGGTTCTCCATTAGCGCCCATTTGACGCAATTATGCGGCCGTTGGTCATTTACTCTGCCCTTCGGTTGTCGTGTTGTCCATCCATTAACAGTGGCGTACTCCGTCGTGTCCAAGCTGACCGTCTCGCTGCGTTTGACACCGCATTCGATGGAGGCACCATAACACAAGCCTGCGGACAGACTACTCTCATTACTGCGCGAGAGAGTCATTGCTTGTGGGTGGAATGAAACTCTTCCCTTCGGCGAGAGGCCTCCTTTGCGCACGCGAATGCCCTCGGGTAGAGTGAGGCTTATGATGGCTTGGCGTATCCTTCGCGTCGCTTTGATCCGGTCCAGCTGAAAATCGAAAACAACTAGGACACATGGGGTGGCATCATCTAGACTAGCTTGGCCGTGAATAATGTCGGCTAAGGAACAGCGGACCAACACTGCAGTCTCGCGCGGGGTATAGATGCCGTCTGAGTTGAATCGAAACTGGCATTGGGCCTCACTGACCGCACCCAAGCCGAAGTCGATCACCGTACCAACGTCTGAGAAGTCGTCTGATTCGCTATCTGACATCTTGACCACTGAGTAGTATCCGAGAGATGACAGGGATTGTATGAGGGACGGGTGATTGCTTGATTGTTAACGAGGCAGTGTTGCTTGATGTAGACATAGATAGTATTATGATTCGGAGGGGATGCCCACTCTTTTATGGACGACGAAAACAAGGCACTTGTTTGTAGAACGTCAAAACAACCAACACAACGTGGCTGTGAAACTATGAACGGTGCCACAAAGGCTGCGCGAGGCTATTCCTGGAAACCACTGCTGATACGTCTGCGCCTTAAAGCTTGTTCGCAAAATTACGGGTATCCTAGTGTGCCTGGAGTAGGACGAATCCCGGCGATGGTGAACAGAAGCACGTTGGAGTAGCAAGTTGCAAGTTGAGAGTCAAGCTTGCAGAGATGGGTGCAATATTGGCTTGGCTGCATATGCAGGGGAAGCTTCCAACCAACTTGCTCGCTCTTCCAACTAGACTCGGATAATCGGATGATGCCGCAATGTATCGCATAGGTAACTATATGTCAATCATGATGGCGAAGAGAGAGTTTTCAAGTTAGCATGTAACCGCGTTGTACATGGACTGTGGCCTCGGTGTCTCGGGTTCTCCCGTCTCAGCGATGCCTACGTGCAAATGCAAGTAGCTCGGAACAAAATCTTTTGCTTCTCGTCCAAACATCGACCTGGGAGCGTCACGAATGACAATCGCCTCAAGCTAGGAATTTCGTGCGCAGACCAGTACGTTATCGCTCTGAGTTCTGCGCAATCATTCGGCACAATTGAGCACCGCATTTTAGGACATGAGCCCAAAACTCACCCACGAACCCGTGGCAACAATGGAGACGCCTCCTTCTTCTGAAAAGGACTTTTTCGATGTCTTCCATCACATATCAGGCGAGATCGACGCCATAAAAGCGGGCGAGCAGCGAGATCCCCAGTCTGAAAAGCAACGTGTTCATGAACTTATTTGCTTCGTCGAGGATCATGCCGACGAGATTAACGAAGACGGCACGATTCTTCACCAGTTTCTGCGCGATGCCAGAAGAGCAGATAATTGCCCTCCGGAGGTCCTGAACACCGTCCTCGGAAAGTTACCAGAAGCAATTTTGATGAACTTTAGTGGAGCCGTTCCTCTGCTAGAGTTCATCAGGAGACGCTCGAAAAAGATGGTTCGTGTCGTCATCGAATTCATGGCACAAGATATGAAGAAGCGCAACTTAGCTTCTTTAGCGACACTGACCTTCGGTTTCGCTGAAACCTGGTTCGAAGAGAACGAGCAGAATCCCGACACCATAGAAGCTGGTCGAGAAATTATTCAAGCTGCTTTTAACTTCAATGACAAACCCAACGAGTTGCTCCCGGTCAACATAGACCTTCTAGAGATTCTAGTCAACCTTGCGGCTCCAGAGATGCTTTTCAAAAGCAATAACGAATTGAGTCCGCTGGAGCAAGTTCTGCGTTTCGATTTGTGTCTCAGTGACCCTGACCGTCAACTAGCATTGGTGAGGCTAATTCTCGACAAATGCCCCAATAGCATCCACGATTTGGTGACCAAAGAGGTCAGACTTCAGCCGTGGAAAGCGAACAACTCTCTTCGTCAACCCGAGTACAGCGTTTACAGGTGGCATATTGCCACCAGGGAATCTTGGCATAATCAGCATCTTCGGCAAATGAATGCATCTACGTCGACACAAGTGGGCCCACCTGATCGACTAGCTACCTCTGAGATCGCGAGAGAAAGAGGGCTTGGGGGAACACAGCCTAAGCCCGGAATGATGTTGAAGGGTCTTATGACTGCTTCTTACACGCGGATACCTTCTTCGAGTCCGAGTTTCGATGCTGATAGACCGGCGAAACCAAGCATATTGAAACCTAGCCACCTGCCCACGATTATGGATCAGCCATCTGTTTCAGAGGGTCGGGGAAAAGAAGGTCAGGTTTCGCGTCGTCCGCTATTGCGCAACGGAGGTCTGACAAATGGGAGAAAACCGAAAGAGATACGCTTCACTAAACAAGATGTTGAGGCTGCAGACAAAGCCAGCGATGAAATTTGTAAGGAGCTCGGAGTTCGCTTTCTACGGTCGACTGTTTTCCACAACGATGAGACGAGGAACGCATTCCGGGAGATTGACACCGAAATCCAGCGATTTTTCGGAAATAACGAACAGCGTAAGTTTCAAACACTGAAGAACCCCCGGCGTAGAATCCCTTCAGCTCTTCATAGGTAGCTTGGTTCTAATGCCCGCATGGCGTCGTCACACCCCCTTCCTTCTTCCCCTGAATTGATTGATGAGGAAGTGGCATCTTGGCCACTATTCAATTGCTTTTGTATGAATGCTAATATCCGAGAACTCAGATTACTATTTCGCAATGGATACGGCTAAGGAATACCGTGATATGACAGAGAACCAAGTGAGGAATTATTTTGGCAAACGGGATCACTACCACACTCTTCGTCATGTCTTTCTTCAGCCGGCTACGATCCTCCTTGAGAATGATCAGAACACCCCTAACGGTTCATCCCGCTATACAGATCATCTTCAATTCTTTAATTGGTTCAGGGAGTGGGGTGTTCGCAAGATCTTCAAGGTTGTTGTCTTTGACGGCGACCACCCTCACCGAGACGAGGAGGTTGAAAAGGCTCTAGCAGGCTTTGTGCGCGGAAAAAAGAAGTATCCCTCTTTTGATGTCGAGATTCTCGACTGGCACAAGGAAGATCTCTGCCCCGAGGTGATACAGACAGCAACGCCGCAGGTTCGCGAACTGCATCTGCATTGGAGTGGTCGGAACTCTGTCCTGCGTGGGTGGAGCGAGCCTGAGGGACTACCTGCTCTTGAATATTTGCAGAAGGTGTATATCTACTACACGGTACCATCGATCGAGGAAAGTCGCATACGAAAGAACATCGAAAGCTTCACAAGGCGCATGAAGCAGCCAAGGCGACGGCCAGTGAAGATGGGACAGGCGAATCAGAACTCAACTAGTACTAAGGCGCCAGTACAAATGCAGTCGTCCAGGCAATCAATGTTGGTCCAAGCACATGAGCATTTCGACGACTACAAGAGTCTACCGACCATTCAAATTGTAGACGTGGGCAGAGTCACGCCGACAGGCGCAGCTGGGCCCGATCGTGCTGCGGGTTCTGCCTCAGAATCTGTAGAACAGCCGTGGTTCAAGTACGTTGAAGAGTTTGTTTCGATTATCCCCACACCGGAGGAGCTGCCAGACTATGACTTCAAGAACCCGCACCTGCGTCGAGTAAGGGTTGCACTGATTGACGACGGGGTTGATCTCTTTAGCAAGAGCATGCGTTGTCTAGAGTCGCGCTTCTTGGAAGGTCGAAGCTTCGACCAAACGCCTGATGGGCCCAACCCGGTTTATTCATCTGTCAGTGGCCACGGAACATTCATGGCAAAAACAATTCTTCGCATCTGCCCCTTCGCAGACATAATACCTTATCGTTTGAAAACCGTCCGAGACGCATCCAGCAATCGGCGAGTACCTGATGCAAGCAGTGCAGCTAAGGTAAGCATCATAGCCCCACGTTTTAAGGCCCTTTTCGAGCGAAGTTCTGTCATCGGGCTTTGTGATCCTGAACCGGTAGTTGAAAAGGCTATTGATCTGACTGACTTGCGCAGGCTATCAAAGCTGCCATAGAGCAAGACGTCGACATCATTAGTATGTCTTGGACTATCCGCAACGACAATAACAAGATTTCAGAGGCCACGCTCATGGAGCTACGAAATGTCGTGAGCGCATGTGAGGGCACCGGCAGTGAATGCCGTCGGATTCCCATCATGTTCTGCGCAGCGAGCGACGATGGAATCCAAGGACGCAGTCAGCACGGTAATAGAGGAGAGTTTCCGCGGGAGATCAACAACGCCAAAGTGTTTTGTATTGGTGCTGCTGATCCTCACGGACAGGTCTGGCCAGAAGTTACGGACCAGAATGGGCTGAACTACCTATTCCCAGGCGTGGATATCAAGGATGTTTTTGAAGGTGACAGCCATGATTCCGATACCATATCAGAGGCTTTGGGGTCACAAATCAGTGATCTTGTCACTAGGAATGGACGTACAGGCTCGTCAGTTGCCACGGCTCTTGCAGCTGGCCTCGCAGCGCTTCTTATTCACTGCACCAAGTTGGGACACTACTATACCAATGCATGGAAAGGACCCGATACTCGCCGCAAGGAGACCATCACGCAGCAATTTGTCGACCAGATCGCAACTTACGAGGGCATGCAAAATGCTCTAGATAATCTGAGTTCTGGTAGTCGAAGTGGGACGAAGTATGCGAACCCAAGCAAGGATTTTGCGTGTGCGATTCAGGATCTGAGGCAATATGATGTACAAGGTGGAGCAGCGAACAACTTGCCTCAGTCTCTAAAACCTATCGCAACTCTGTGCCGAAACTTATGCAGGATATGAAGGCGAAACCAAAGTTGTCTCGAAGAGCACATAATTAAGGTCGTTTGATCTAGCTCACTTGAAAGAACGTCGAATCCATGCAGTCCAGATAACCACTTCCCGTTCTCTATTCGTATTCTAGAGCCTCCTTGATGTCGTGGAGAAATTACTCAGGCGTCCCTCACGGTGAATCTCAAGTTCAGAGTCTCAACTTCTGGGTTCGCTCTGAAACTGAAACCGCTCGCGCCTCCCCATACTGTCACTTCCGTAATTACTTTCCGGCCAAATGTCGCTTTGTGCTGGATGAGGAACAAGGCCGGAGCGGCGCCGTGCGTGCTCCCGAGAATGGCCAATCCCGGCCGAGAATCCATTGAAAATGTCGCCCTCTCGCCCCAACCTGGCACCCTGCGGTACCCGGCGTCATACAGAGCCTGCGCAATGAGGTTAAAGCTGGGGACATAGGTGATGTGAGACTGGAAGATGAGGTTAATGTTGTTAGGACGAACACGCTTTTCTGCGCAGGCATCGAGCCATTGGAAGTAGGCGAGGTCGGAGAGCTGTTCAAGTTCTGGGACGTCGCCGGCACCGCTTTCGGCTATTTGATATCGGGGGCTGAAGTCTCTGTCAAAGATGATTGCTCCTGAGCGAGGGTTGAAGACGTTTTGGTAGGAGGCTTGTGATGGCTGGAGGAAGAGAGTAACATGTTAGTAAGAGATCCAGAATATTGAAGGCCGAAATTGACGGCTTCGTAGGAGCCGGAATTCAGAACTGACCTCTCCCCACGAGCCATCCCGGAGTGTGAAGTCATTTGCATGCAGGAATGTAGACAGCCCATTCTCCATCGGGTCTACTGGATGACTCGGGTCTGCGAAGACATCGTCCATGAGATTACCGAAACCAGGTGAGGTCTCAAACTGGTCAAAGTCATCGCCGTCACTGAACTCGTCGCCGCCGTTAGTGTTGAACGGCGCCCAGTTAATTTCGCGCGTCCACCCCCACTGTTCGACGGCGGCCTGGTTCTGCCATGGGCTCGCAACGCTGACCCCGCGGTTATGGCGCGTCGCCTCCGCGTCGCTCAGCGGCATGAGCGTACGGAGGTAGACACCCTTTTGGACGCGACCACTGTAATCATTCGGAAAGCTGGGGAACTGTCCTACGACTCGCTTGGCGAGAGGTTCGTGGTCAGGGTAGGGAAGAGTGTCGGGTCTTGCGACTGGTGTGGGGGATGCGCCAACGAGGGCTACTTGGAGGACTGCCCATGACAAGAGGAGGCGAAGACCGCTTGCCCCGAAGGAGTTTGACGTGCTTGACATTGTAAGTTAGAGGTCTTGATGGCTTCAAGAGACACAATGGGCAAGTAGAAACGAAAGCTTCGGAGGGAAAAAATGGACGTAAGCCGGATGTCGTTTAGATAATGTAAAGAAGCATTACCTAGATCACATCTTCCAGCGCATCCAGAATGAGTGAGCATATTGCGGAAATGACCATTGGCTTTAAGTTTTCCTGGCCTTCGGTAATATATGAAGTGCCTCGTTCCTTAAAAGTCAGCTGTAGCCTCATTCTTGGCAGGAGTAATTCAATGCGGGAATGGCACAACGGGGAGTTGCTGGCTCCTAGCAAAAACACTAATTTTATCCAGTTCAATGATATTAGGAAACTTACAATGAGCAATGACTCCACTGGTAAAAAAGCTTCGATGAATCGGCGCGTATATCTTGGAGGTATTTGAGCTAGCTCTTGCGGACGAGATGAACGCAAACACCGTCGATATTGCCGAAGGCAGATAGTCATGTAAATGCCCAAGTTTGGCAGTCCATAGTCTAATTCTCGTTATTTTATTCGCCATGACCAAGAAGCTTCTGGTGGCACTGGCCACTGTGCCGTGCCGTGCGGCGGCCGGCGAAGCCGTCTAATCAAACTCAAATGGACGACGACTGAGAACTTGAAGCAGGGCGGGCAGAATTTACCGGAGTCAACCACTAATGCCCATATCAACATCGTTATCATTATCTCTTAAGTATACGCACCTCTCGAGATATCCCATCAGCGACTCGCTAGTGTTATAACCTCTGTCTCAGCTCAACTTATACATTCACTGACAACATGTTTGTGAGAGCTCAGCACCTTCTTACAGTATGCCTCCTCTTCTCGGAGGCTGCCCTATCTGCCATCTTGCCTCGCGGAGGCGATGATTCAGGTGGTCATCCATGGGCCAATCATGATATGATCACACCTTTCAAACAGGACTCCTCTCCCGGGACAGACGGTCGTCTGGAACGTAGATTTAACCCGTTCCTTGCCGTCACTGGAGGTTGTGATCCGTATCCTGCAGTTGATGCCAGCGGGGCTTTTGGGTAAGCCTCCACGTTGTTCGTCATATAAACAAAATCATATCTAATGGAATAAAATAGAGCAGGTCTGAAGCCTACAGGCGGCGGGAGATCAGGCTGCGGCAACGGCGGCGCCGGCCAAGTCTACGCTCGCCACGGAAGCAGTCACGGACGTGATGCCATCATTTACAGCTACTACTTCCCCAAGGTTCGGTGGGGCAAGGGAAACGATGAGGGGCACCGCCACTACTGGGCCAGCGTTGTGGTCTGGATAAATCGATGGGGTTGCAACGCCGAGAAACCCTCCTCATACCGGGTCGTTGGCATTTCATACACGGTCGACCACTTGAGATGGGGTACTACGGCTGTCGGTGACCTCAAATTCAGAACTTCACCCACGAACCCGATTGTCTCAATCCACGATAACGCCATGGCACCTTTTCAAGATACAGACATATCCGCGGCCTCCAATCGCACTCTTATCGCGTGGAGCTCGTTACCTAGCCCAGCGAGGCAGGCCTTGACTGGCGTCAAATACGAAAAGACCCAAGTGCCGTTTAACGATGCCAATATCCAAGGATCCCTCGATGGGGCTTATCAACAGATATTCTACAACGGTTTGAAGGACGGGCAGGACTGTACCAAAGACATCCCGGACCCTGATGGTCCTGACTTGGCACCTGGCGAGCAAGAGCCTATTGCAATTCCTCTGCCTCCTGTTGATAATTAGATACATCAATGAAGACAAACAGAGACAGTCTAAGTGATTATTGAACAGCTGAGTAATATTCGCAATTGAAAAAGTGATGTGATATCACTGATTTTGGGTGATTGTCCTTGGCAGTGTCTCTTTGAGTTCAATCTTGGGTCTACCATCCATCATGCCTGCAACGCAAATGACCTTCAGTCATTGCTGAATTCAGTGTGATCATGGACGAATTTTGATGAAAAATAATCGACTCCTTTACACCGTGTGTAGAAGCAGGGCTTTTGGTGTGATGTGGTGTAGGAGCGACGTCAAAATGGAATGCAAGGGTCAAGCGTGCCGACTTACATCATAGCATATCGACCGATCTTCTAATTCTGTCTATCGATGACGTCTTTTGAGACTTCCGCACTTGGCCTCAACTTCCAGAAAATCCTTTAGAGACTTCCAATCAGCCGAGGTTGAAAATTACTGAACAGCTCCGCCTACCCACAGACGGCGCGGAGTCCCGGATCCTCCTGGAGCTGGGCCAGAAAATACCGGAGTGCAACCAACACGCCGCTAGAAGCTTGTTGGACACATTCCGCATGATTCCATCATTGCTCGGTTCGGAGTTGTTGCTGAATGCCTGTAATGACCACGGGAACTAAACGTTCCCACATCAAATACGCGTGTTTCAGGGGTTGTGCGTCTTCTGATACCATGCGGTTTACCACGGCCGATAACAGGGGCTGTCTGATACTAAAAGTCCATATGTGCAGAATGGTCCTCGAATTCTTTCGAGTGAGAATTTTGATCTCGTTTGCAGTTATGGAAGGAACATCGGATTCGAAAGCTGCTCCTGAGGCTCCCAACATAATCCTACCAGATATGCCAGAGCCACAAGCTCAGAACCTTGCCTCGAAGGCCCCCATACAGAATCATGATCCTGAAGCTGTCCATGCAGTGGACGCAGAAGCTCTCATCATCGATTGGGACGGGCAATGCGACCCTGAGCACCCCTTGAATTGGTCAGATGAAAAGAAGGGGCTGAACATCGCCATACTGTCTCTTCTCAGCGTAGTTACGTCAGTAATTCTCAGGCTCTTGGCTTCTTGAAATATCTCTTGGTTGGTGCTGACATTTCCAGACCTCTGGGCTCCTCAATGTTCGCGCCTGGCATTCCCCTTATCGTGGAAGAATTTCACGATGACAGCTCCGTTACTGCAACCTTTCTGCTCTCGATCTACGTCCTCGGATTCGCCCTTGGACCTCTGTTTGTAGCCCCGATCAGCGAACTATACGGCCGCAGATACCTCTACATCTTTGGGAATATCCTCTTCACAGGATTCACAATCGGGACAGCGCTGAGCAGTAGCATCGGAATGTTGCTTGCTTTTCGCCTCTTGATGGGTCTATCTGGCGTTGTTCCCCTCACTATTGGGAGCGGAAGCATCGCAGATATGATGCCGCCCGAGAAGCGAGGTAGAGCCGTTTCAATCTGGGCGCTGGGTCCCTTGTTGGGCCCATGTGTTGGGCCGGTCGCCGGCGGTTATCTCATTCGCGCCGCTGGATGGAGGTGGGTGTTTTGGCTTATCAGTATTCTAGTAAGTTCATGTCTCTCGGTCTTACGATATGTCGTTAGGAACTTCCAAGACTGACGGCGCTCTTTCAGGCAGGACTATTCATACCAGTCTCAATTCTTGTATTACGGGAAACGTACCCCCCTGCTATTCTAGAGCACAAAGCCAGCCGTCTTCGGAAGAAGACTGGAAACCAAGAGATACGAAGCAGACTCGAACAACAGACCCGTATGTCAGAGAAACTCCGTCTTGCCGCCATGCGCCCGATCAAGCTCTTGGTAGCCACTCCTGTGGTCACTCTCAACGCCCTCTACATCGCTATTTCTTACGGCATCCTGTACCTCCTGGTAGCAACTTTCACTTTTGTCTACACAGAATACTATGGATTTGACGAGGGTTCGAGCGGTCTCTCTTTCCTTCCCG